GCTCTTTGAACGTCCAAGAAGAAACACGCTCACCAAGGGTACTCCCATCAAACCAGCTCCGAGGTAAGTAGCATGCCCCATTTCTGAAATAGTTAACTACAGTCAGACATTCCCATCTGAGAATAGTAACAACCTGCTCTCATTTGTAATACCCTTTGTACATGATTATATGAAACAAAGATTTTAAACTCAAACCAGGTTTTCAGCTGGGGAAGAATCCCGAGATGTTCGCTAAGAAGGAGAAGAAAGCCAGATGGCATATGGTGGTATAGTTAAGGGTTACGCAGCTGTGTAAGTCAATAGGAAATGAGCTGGGGGGGTGGGCAATCACAGCTCATGGTTTCATTATTGGCAAGCGAACACTCCAGGGTGATTGCAAAAGAGCTTTATGGGGCTTTTTCTCTCCCATGGTAGACTTAAATATTTGTATCATAACCCAGGCACAAACTTGTGTCTAGGGGTTTACTGGCTGTTTAGAAAGCATTTGGTATATTAAAAATGCAGTTACTCAAGCTGTTGCCACAGAAAAAGCTGAAACCTATGATACTAATTAAAACCATAACCTTTGGTATCACTAATATTTTTCCCCTTCTCTCTCTCTCTCTCTCTCTCTCTTACGTAAGAAACTGTTAATGTGGGCAGTGCATCTGAGTTGGAAGGATTTCCTTCCAAAGCAGAACGTTCATACAGCATCTCTCCTGGACCAACCAAGGTATAGTATGGACTTGTCAGCAGCTGGGGCACGAAAAGGGTGAAGAAGATAAGAATCATATGTGAGATACTGGTACATACATAATACACACATGCATACATCTATGAATAAATTGATGCATATACACATTATCCATATGAGTTAGACAAATTATGATTGAGGATAGAAACAGTGTTGGTACCTAGAACAGACCTCAGTGAAATGAATGGGACTTACAACAATTCCCATTTGTTTTAGCTGATCTGCTATGTGTACAACTAACACCGAATTTAGCTCAAGGAAGTTGTTGTTTTTGTGAACTGAAACTGAGAGGAATAAGACTTTCTGCTAGAAATGTGCACTAGCACCAGATATCTAGAACTCCATTACGCTCAACATGAATGCTATATAATCATTATCTTCCCCTTTTAAAAAAAAACACAAAAAGGCAAAGCTCAGCAATGGTAGCTTGACCTGAAGAAAAAAGAAGTTTTTCTACAGATCCCGGTTCCAGGCATGAGTGGTGTGGACTAACCATGTCCCCTCCCCAAGAGAACACTCTCTCACTCAGTTAAATAGTTAGTAGGCAAGGCAGCAGTCCTATGGCCACCTTGGCTAGACCTCCTCAGACAGACTGCATCTCAGCCCAGCAAGCCAAGGATCGGTTGCGTTTGGCTTGCAGGGCTCCTGCATGTACGCCTCTCCCTCTGCCATGTCCTTCTGCGGCGATGTCTCAGGAAGACAGGCCTCTGCCATGCTTGTCAAGACAGTGTCCCAGAAAGCTTGCCCTATTGTTGCAAGGGTGGGGGATTGGGGCTCTAGAATACAACCACCGGTACTGCTGTTAGGGATGCCATAAACATTGCTAGTTTCTTCCTGCTCTGTGTGACCCCCTCAGTGCTGGCCAGACCATCTTCACTAGCTACTGCTGCATGTGATGGAATGTTAGCTGGCATTGCCCCCACACACACACACACCTTTTGTGGCTGCTTAATATCCATTGCCTGCTGTTTAATTCAGTTGTTCCTAGATAGGATTGCTAATTTGTCATCCTTACTACTTCCAGCAAGTGGTGGGGCAAGTGTGGCTGGAGGGGCAGGGGTGATTTCAGCGTCACAGTCTGAAGCAGTGCCTACCTTAGCCCTCCATTTCTTCCTCCTGACATCAAATGTATATATACTTGAAAGGGAGTTCCCATCAACCACAAGGCTGCTTTGCACAGGAGAGATTTGCTAGGAATGAGGACTGGGGGATAAATCCTTCCTTGAATATGATGGTGCTGGATGGATATGGAAGGCAATTCTGGTGCTCTTCATAAATCTCTTTCCCAACCACAAAAGCAGCAGCACTGAGTGCTGATGCCCTCCTTGTCTTCTCTGGCACATTGGCTCTTTGGGAGAAATGTGCTGCCTCCATCATCTTTTTTGGCTCCGTGCGCTGGCTGCCCTGGTTGGATTCCACAAAGAAGTCACTAGAACATGTCAGAGGTTCACTCAAACCTGTCCCACCTTGAATCATAGGCTTCTCTGCC